ACACCTCATATGGAGCCAAAACTCCTAAACCCTGAACCCCCAACCCTAAACCCTAAACCCCAAACCCCTAAACCCTAAACTCCTAAACTCCTAAACCCTAAACCCTAAACTCCTAGACCCTAAACCCCCAAAACCCCCTGAACCCCTAAACCCCTAAACCCTGTAACCACCTAAACCCCTACTAGACCCTAAACCCCTAAACCCTAAACCCAGGCAGTTTTAGGGCCTCAGGGCTGTTGAGGGCCTAGGGCTGTGCGGGGGACTGTGGGGGATTTGAGGCTTAGGAGTTCTAGAGTTTACTCCTTTACTCCATTGGAGCTCCTCTTTGGGATTACCTTGTAGGAATTTAAATATAAGCCACAAAAAGGGAACTATAATGGAGCCTATATAGGTAGTGAAGCTTAGGGAGTTCTAGGGTTTACTCCATTGGATTCCCTTACAGGAACTTAAATATAAGCCACAAAAAGGGAGCTATAGTGGAGCTATGGGTGACAGGTAGTTTAAACAAACCCTAAACCCTAAACCCTAAACTCTAAACCCTAAACCCTAAACCCTAAGGGTTGTTTCTTGGACCTCAAGGGTGCAGGGCTTTGAGGGTGTACGTTTTTGGGCGTTTGGAGGAGTCAGGTCTTCAAGGCCCTAGACCTTTAGCTTAGGGGTGCTTAGAAATATTTTTTTTTAATTTTTGGCTACTATAAACCCTAAGAAGCAGCTCAAATTATAATTGTTGCTAGGGGTCTAAGTTCAGTATAGTTAGGGTTCTCATGTAGGTTTAGGGTTTGGGGGATTAGGGGATTAGGGTTTAGGGTTTTGCGGGTTTTGCATAGGGCTGGGGGTTTTCGGCTTCACCCTAAACCCTAAACCCTAAACCCTAAACCCTAAACCCTAAACTTTAATATAGTGTTTAGTAGAGGCCTCAGGTTCGGATGGTGACGCACCAGTCGTCACTGCTTGAACGTCGCCCATGCTTCATCCTGCATTCCCAGCTTAGAACCGGTCGAAGCTGTCAGGGGACGCTGAAAGCAATTGCGCGAACCCTAAACCCTAATCCGTAAACCCTAAACCCTAAACCCTAAACCCTAAACCCTAAACCCTAAACCCTAAACCCTAAACCCTAAACCGAACAATGCCTTCGATGGCCGTGCAGCGCTGGAGATCCCGGTGTATGGGAGGAGCTGATGCGCGACCTTTGCTTAAACGCGCTTGGCCTTGAAGTGGAAACATCGACAGGGGCATGCTGAACACGGCACTGTGGCATATGGTTCAGGCTCCTTGAGGGCTTCGGGGCTTCGGGGGTTTATGTTATCCCCCAAGTATCAACCTCTCCGATGTATAAGCACGCTGACAACCAAATCAGAAAATCTGTAAAATAGCGTATACATACAGGTCTATATGCGCGCGATGTATACTCACATGCAGACATGGAAAGATGTACGTATGCACATAACATATGCTGTGTAACATACGCGTATTTGCACTGTATGTGCATGCATGTGTGTGTGTGTGTGCGTCTTTGCATGTGTAGATAGAACTCAGACTCTATCTAAGTCTCTGTATTCACCTGTACAAAAGAAGTATAATATTTGTATATATATATATATACACACCTGCACATTACGTCGTCTATACTGGGAGCCTAAACCCTAAACACTAAACCCAGAGGCGATAGTTGCCGGCATGGTGGCCGCACATGCGACTCTCTTCGTCGATGGCAGCGTTTCGTCGCTTCCCTGGGTTACCTCGGGGTGCCGCAGTTTCCGCTTGTCTGAGCTGGTGATGTTTAGGGGGTCAGGGGGTTTAGGGTCTGTGGTTTAGTAGTTTAGGATTTAGGTTTGAGGTTTATGTCAGTTTGTGTCAAGCTTGGGCGATGGGGCAAGTCGCGTTCAGGGTTATACTAACGTTGCGACAGCTCCTAGAAGGTCCGTATATAGTATTAATTATGATGGAGCTTGGCCCCCCGAAACCATACAAGGGATGGTGTTTTGGGGCCCAATTCCATAGTGGTAGTATGTATGGACCCTTTAAAAATCAGGAGTTCGGGGCCGACGCACAGTTCGTTTTCGGACTTCATGGTTTAGCCTGATCTCAGGCTCCCAATCACTCCTGGGTTCCTTCTTTTTCATGTTAATATAGAAGCTTAAATAATTACCAATAGTATTTTTTATTGGGGGGGGGTACTTCCATATTACAATTATTGTATAATATACCCCAAAACCCTATTCTAATTATTAAGGCCACTACATTACTTCTGCTGCTGTTGTCGCTGTTGCTGTTCAATGACTCAGCAGCATCTGTCTTGTGACCTGAGGATGTTACCCGGATGTCACTTTAGGGCTTCGGCTTTGAGGTTCTGGTTATGACTAATTATGAGGTTAAGGTACTTAAGCTTAGGTTTGGGTATTGCCGCCCTGGGTTAAGTGTTTAGTGGCCATGCAGAACTCAACCCTTCGACCTCTTAAGCGGACACCCTGAACCTGAAGTCCCATACCTGAATTTCCGTTTAGGGGTTTAGGGTTTAGGGTTTAGGGTTTAGGGTTTAGGGTTTAGGGTTTAGGGTTTAGGGTTTACGGTTTAGGGGCCTGAAGCCAGAGACGTTCCTGCTCTTGTGGGGTGTCTAAACCCCAAACTTCTGAGCAATAGACGCCCGAGTAATACTATTCCTTTGAACTCCTCCTGATATCCATATCTTTCTGATTACTGTTCTTTTGTATTAGACATATCATTGGACTTCTTCTTAGCATGATTATTACTATTATTGTTAGTTCAATTATTGAGGCCCCTCTGCTACAACTCTAAGGCCGCAGCTCCATCCCAAGCTCTTGCCAACTCTTCAGTCGCTTCTTCGCGCCAGGCGCGACCGTAGGACAAACCCAGGGCCTGAGGGTTTAAAGTTTAGGGTTCGGGCGTGTAGGGTCTAGGGATTGGGTGTTTGGGGTTGAGGGTTTATAGCGCGTAATGCAGAGTTCGGAATAGCTTGTAATCATATCCCTCTCAAGGCCCGGTAAAATATCATGAGTGGGCTTTGCGCCAACAGGTTTCGGAGTTTAGAGTGGAATTAGGGTTTAGGGCACGGGGTTATGGGTGCAGGGTTTAGGGCAGCATCGGGTGTTGTGTTTTCGGTTTCGGCTTTAGGTTTTAAAGCTTTCAGAGGGAGTCCGAGGAAAGAGGGGTTTCTTTGTCCTGAACATGGGGAGGAGGGGCGGGCCCCGTTCTGTCAGAGTTCTTGGAGTGTGTTGTCATCTGAACGGCAGGTTTTCATACGACACCTGCATTGCTCATTTTGTTGGAAAAGGGTAATCTAGGGCCTAAATATTTACCTATACTATTTTGGGGTTCCGTGTTATAACTATAGTATAGTATACCCCAAAACCCTATTCTAACTGTTGAGGCCCCTACGTTAGCTGTGTGCTATCTTCACGGCGACTCATATTATGCTTCTCAGCTTTCCTGCCCCGAAGTAAACCCTAAAGATTCAACGGTAACAGTTCGTATACATGCGAACCTAAACCCTAAGCCCGAAGAGATCTTGTAAATGCCCATGCTCCCCCTACGGCACACACCGCAGTACCCACAATGCGCTTTGAAGTCGAACCGGGTATAGAAGCCTACGGTGCACCTTCACCCACCATATCCTGCTGTTTGTAGTTTATTTTTGTCAATTTGTAAACCCTGATAAAGCTTTTACCGGGGGCCTACAAAAAAGCAGGTTTTGGTAGCTGAAGGTACACTGGAACGGCTATACATTTGGGGCTCTTTTGCCTTCATCTAGTGATACTCGTAGTGCACAGACCCTCCCCCGATAGTGTTGGAAGACACACGGGGTGGAAGTGTGTAAACCATATAAACCCTATAAGCCCTATAAACCCTATAAGCCCTATAAGCCCTATAAGCCCTATAAACCCTATAAGCCCTATAAGCCCTATAAACCCTATAAGCCCTATAAGCCCTATAAGCCCTATAAATCCCACA